TGTGCTGCTGTCTCAAACAGCCAATTAGAGTTTTTAAAAGAGAACTTAGAGGTTTATCATTCTTCCTTTATCATTTAGGATTTTTGAAGGGTTTTGTAGCATCATACTTTTGTCGAGGTCACACGACAGTCTAAGATGCCCAACATGACAACAACACACACATATTGAAAGAATCAATAACTGAAAATGAATGATTGAATAATATAAAAAAATTCTATATTATGTGATAAATTCTTGAGTGATTGAAGCCTCTATATTGTTATACTAAAAGCAAATAGCAAAGTATTAGTATAAAGGGTACATGGAAGGGGAAGTTGGGCACGAGTTGGTAAGGGTTTGCGTAGAAACATGGTTCCAAAACGGGCATACAAATCAATTATATAAAATAGCATGTGCTAGAGCGCATAGGTTAGTGTATCATATTTTGTGCCCTATTTACATGACACTGTATGAGAAAGCAGTATAACATCTATTTTATCATTGATGTTTATGGACTTGCTCTTTTATTCCTCATAGTGTTTGTCTTCATGATTAATATTAACATGTTTACTTGCGGTATTTATGGGCTATTAATAAAAGCAATGACTGCAGCTTTGATGTATTGTTTACAATTTTGAAACTACTTTATATAAGCGTTAAATCCGTGCTAAGATTTTGATGGTGATTCTTAAATATTTTAGAATAGGCATAACCCACTATTTATTAATGATGCCTACACAAATTGTCTTTATTTATCGTTAATTATGCTATTTTTTCCCCGCTATTTCCATGCATATTCTTGCTCTGTGCACTTGGATTTTTTTTCTGTTTTAGTGATTAGATTTGCTTCATCGAATTTGATTAATTATTAGCAATGTTGTTGTTTTGTTAAATAATTTTTTTATTGTTCAATTTACAAAGCCATCATCTTATTATGAGTCATATTGCTTCATTCATTAGTTAGAAAGATGGAAAAAATATCAAAATTATGCCAATCACTTAAAAGGGTTTTTGAATATTATTCCTTATGCTTAGCTTTCATGCACGTCAAAACAACATCATGTTTTATTTATATGACATTGACAATATTTTTTGTATTAGAATTTTTTATCCTATATTATTAAACTAATAAATAATTATTAATGGTTTTTAATATTTTTTTGGTTATTTTTTAAAATAGAGCTCTACACGCTATGGCTGTGCGAGTCCTTTGCACTATGTGGTAGAGTGAGAATTAAGAACCCTGGAAGATCTTTTAGGAGTGACATAATCGTCGAAGCTTACTTGTTTGCATTCAAACCTTCCTCAGCATATGCTTAGGAGTTTTAGAATTTTTAATAGGACTGTTAAGGTAATAATACCATATTTTCTTGGGTTAAATAAGAAAATTTTTTTTCGTCTTTTGTATTTTATATTAACACAAAAAAGCACTCAGGAATTCACCCAAACAAAATATATATCCCACATTTTAAAAGGAAATCACATACTTTTTTTTAATCAAAATTAGCCTTTTATTTGGCTAACAACTTAATGCTAACTCATGTATTTACTATTTTTTTATATTGTGTTATTTTAACTTTATATATATGTATATATATATATATATATATATATCTGTATGTGTGTGTGTGTTTCATTCCGGCTAATTTATTTTTATTTTTAGTAAATCACATCTAGTTTCAAACTTTAAATTCAATATATATTTATACTTTTATTTCATAATAGTACAAGTAAATTAGTCATGTTTTTAAGTACTTTTTTTTTTATTTTATTTTAATGCTATATAATTTTATGTTTTATCTATTTGCAATTTTTTTTGCATTATTTTGTTTAAAATTAACTTATTCATCAAACCCATATCCCCTTCTTTACATAAGTACATATAAAATTTTTTAAACAAAATGTCATTAGTAAATCTTCCAAATAAGAACAATTATTCCTTATATAAGTTTTAATAATTTATTATTATGTAAATTGTGATAAAATATTTTTCTTATGTTAAATGATGATTTTAAAAGACATAATTTTAAAAATTAATAAATTTTAAATAAATTTATAAACATAATAACTATAAATTATAATTATTACTCTTTTTGAAAAAATTATACATATTTTTTAAAAAAATGATAAATTTTAAGGTATGTGCATTTGGGTAGGGGTGTAAATGAGCGGGCCCGTGTTCAGCTCTTAAAAAAGTAGCACCGTTCGTGTTCGACTAATTTATTTTTCGAGCACAAAATGTCATTAGTAAATTTTCCAAATAAGAACAATTATTCCTTATATAAGTTTTAATAATTTATTATTATGTAAATTGTCCTAAAATATTTTTCTTATGTGTGTTCGGCTCGTTTATTTTTCGAGCATAAAATGTCATTAGTAAATCTTCCAAATAAGAACAATTATTCCTTATATAAGTTTTAATAATTTATTATTATGTAAATTGTGATAAAATATTTTTCTTATGTTAAATGGTGATTTTAAACAACATGATTTTAAAAAATAATAAATTTTAAATAAATTTATAAACTTAATAACTATAAATTATAATTATTACTCTTTTTGAAGAATTTATACATATTTTTTAAAATATGAGAAATTTTAAGGTACGTGCATTTGGGTAGGGGTGTAAACGAGCCAAACGCGAGCGAGCCTGGGGCCTCAGCTCGTTTTCAGCTCTTTAAAAAAGTATTATTGTTCGGCTCGTTTATATTTCGAGCACAAACACTTGCTCCTGTTTGGCTCGTTTGCTTAGAAAACTGAACATGAGCCGTTTTAAAAACCCTAATCAAACAACTGTAAGATGTTAACAGTTGAGAGATGAGATTTAAATTTTATTATTCATTTTAAAATAACATTCAAATATAAATTAATATGTTTTTATTCTATTTTTGTAATTAATAATTTTAATTGAATATAATTCTTTGTACTCTTGTAGTCAATTTAATTATTTCAAGCCGAAACATGTCGAACACAAACAAACAAATATTTGTTCGTATTTGACTCATTTACATATCGAGCGCAAAAAAATTGTTCGTGTTGGGCTCGTTTACTTAGCGAACGAATCAAACACAAATTATTCGCGAACAACGAGCCTTTTTTGACAGCCCTACATTTGGGGCGTACATGAATTTTAAGAGATTATATTTCACGTGTACGAACACTTTTGCCATTTCATTCAATTGGACCATACATACATTGTTATTTTTTTCATCTAAAATGGTCAATACATTATATGCTATAAAACGAAAAGTACAATTTGTTATTTCTTTGTTCCATTTTCTTATAGTCTTTTTCTATGAGGGTTAGGGGATGGATGATAATAGTTATGTTGTTCATCCATTCTGTTTTACTCTTGCTTGTATTTTGTTATCTCATTGGGTAGATAATGGCATGGTTAGTTTAAAGCTTCATTTTTTATTCCTAATTATATTCTAAAAAAGCATGGAGTGGCCTTTTGATTATATCCTTCTTGTGGATAAGACTAGAGAAAGAGTTCAGGAGAAACTTGAATTATGGAGGTCAACTTTTGAGTCTAATGGCTTTCATTTGAGTATATCTAAAGCTTAATATATGGAATGTAATTTTAGTGGTAAGTTTAGTAGCATTGTCGTAGCAATGGGTCATTAGAATAAGTGATTGTTTTAGATATCTCAGGTTTGTTGTTCAAAGAGATGGTGATATAGACGGGGATGCTATTAGTAGAATTCAAGTTGGATAGTTGAAGTGGAGGAATGCATTAGGCCTATTGTGTGATAGAAAAACACTTCTTAAACTTAAAGGAAAATTTTATAAGATGGCGGTGAGAACTACAACACTTTTGGCTCAGAATGTCGGTATGTAAAAGAGAAGCATAAATCTAAGTGTTTTTGAGATGAGAATGCTCAACTGGATGAGTGGTTTTATACTCAAAGAAAAAATGCAAAACGAATAATCTATTAAAGTGATGGAGTAGCTCCAGTGGCAAAAAAATTAGAGAGAGTCGCCTTAATTGGTTTTGTAATATTAAATGTCCACCATCTCATGCCCCAATTAGGAGGGTAAATGTTTTAGATTTGACTTATGTTAAAAAAGATAGAGGTATGTACCTAAATAGACTTGGGCATGTTGTATGAACAACAATAACAAAACCTTAATCCCACTACGTGTTGTATGAACAATGATTTTAATTTATTAGATTTAAATAAAAGTATGACCTTTAAAAGGACACAAGGGAGAAAAATGATTCAATTAGCTACCTCACTTAGTGGGATAAAGTCTTGTTGTCGTTGTTGTGGTGGAGGAATGCAATCACTGCTAGAGTTTTAACATGAATGCTTTTTAATTTTGCGATGTGCCTTTCGAATGTCTCTAAAAGGCCAAAATTGATTTCATATTTTACTATATTTAAACAGGTATTATTAGCCGATTGCTTTGATACTATCTATTCTAAAAGTGGTTAATGAGATATTTCTGATGAAATAGTTCCTTTATACTAAATCAAGCATCAATGATAAGGACGATTATGCGGACCATACTTATCTCATTGTTCAGTTCCAGCCCCCAGTGTCCTTGCTGGACACCTTATAGGTACACAAGCACACAAGTACCCAAGTGCACAAGTTTGAGATAAACTATGTGAATCATGTGGGTTCACAATATTTATCTAGTCAATCATAATTGTGGAGTTCACCTCCCTTTATTCATATAATAATTGAGCTGAATTGCTGTGTGATGTTATGTTAAACGAACTCGACTGTAAAGGCCTCAGCTACTTATACTTCCTATGAATTGATTGATTGACCACTATGCAGTTGTTTCTATATCATTCTTCATGATGAATGAATGTAATTTCTTTTAGTTCTTTGAGTTTAAAATAATTCCTCATTCAATGGGGTTAGTTTATCTAATTGTAATGTCACCGTTTTTTTTTTTGTTCCCGTCTGAAATGCTATTTTTCTACCTAAAAGCATGTTTGGCCGTTTCATAAAACAAGTAAATCTAAATATTTTTACCTTATGCCTATCTTTTCTTTGTATTTCTAGGTATTTAGTTTACTGAAACAACTTGATCGAGATTTCATCAATCAGTTTGTTTCTAGGAGGGAATTGCTATTTTTATCTTGTCTACCTGTTACTCCTAATTCCCATAGAATTGTGGAAGTAACACATGCATTAACTGATGGATCAAGGATTAGTTTTGTAAGTTATTCTCACTCTCTTAGTAATCTTGCTGTGTTCTCATGGCTTAATCTTAATATCTTTTATATGATCTCTTGCTGCATATTGCAATGGAGAAGGATGATCGAACAAAAATTTATAAAAGAATGGCTGATTTGGGCAAAAAGCTTGATGGTGTTCTGCAGCATCCTCAGTTTAGAGCTTTAACATCCTCCTTCATAACTGATAGAGTTCGAGAATGCTTTGTGTCTTCCAAGGCAAGGGCATTACTATCCTTAAGCATTATTGAATTAATTCTTTAACCATTAATTGTATACTTATAGTACTACAAGCCATTGCTCCAAATGAACTTTATCTTTTTTACTGTGTTTAAATGGTTTAAATATTTTTTTTTGCTGCTTTGATTACTCAATTTCTTCCATAAAATTACTTTTAAATGCTCATGAACCCAAAAGTTCCAGCCACAGGATCATGCTTATTGATTGTGTTATTTTCTTGAAAAGTTGTATTTTGCATTCTATTTCAAATATCAGGAGTACATAATCAATACAACCATGCATGCACAGGTTGAGATCTATCCTACTTAATAGGAAGAAAAGAGAGCATATAATTCATGTACATGTTTTAACAAATAATGGGCTGCCATGTTGTGTAGTTTTGGAACTTTGGAACAAAATGAAGAGCACCTGTTTAAATTGGGTGAGAAAAGCTATGTATGGATTGTCCTGTGGTCTGGAGCTCCACACCATATTCTGTCAGCCATACACCGTTTGTCTCGCTTAATAATGATCTTCTTAATATCAAACTTCCAAGGCTCTAAAATGTCTTTGATGGTAAATGCTGGCCGCCAATTTAAACATCCCAGAGCTCTAAATACTTCCCTGCCGCAACTAAGCAGTCCCCAAATTCATCCTGTATGATTACTACCATTCCGGCTTGGTGGGAAGTTAGAAGCCCTCATCCACATTTGCCTTAATCCAACCAACAAGAGTGGAAGAGAGACAGCGCCGAGGGCCAATTATTGTCCCTAAGCTACGGCTGATTGTGTTGTTCTTTGTGAAGAAGGTTTCTTCACTTTTTAAATTTGATTGAATTTTATCATGTCTTGATGGATATACAATAATTCTGCTCAAACAGATGCATTTTCCTTGCATAATTTTTTATATGGCATGCTAACAGTAGCATGGAGGTGCAGTAACTGCACTAAACCTGCTAAACTGTATATGTTTGCAATTAGCAATCCTCTCGAACATACATTTGGTTAGACACTAAATGCTTTTTTTGGAGATATTTAGAGCATGAAGTTTGGGTTGCCATTCTAAGCATGCTTTAGTGATGACCAGTCATCTATCAACTTGATTCTAAAGTAAAAAATAGTTTTCGAACTTTTCCTTTACATCATGCTTTTCCCTGCTTTAACCGGTAGAATTCCCACATTTGCACTCTTATTTCCTTGCAACAGCATGTGTGGATAGCTGCTGAAGCTTTTTATTTGATTCATTTCTTCTGTGGATTCTATTTCTTCTATGCTTTCTTAAAGTTATGCGCTTGTCCTTCTAGCTTGCCTACATGGTTGAAGACTTAGCTCGTTTTTAACTCTGTCAACCTCCATATGCATCTCAAGCATGTGCCTTAGCATGCATCCCATACGTAATTGCTGGAAACACATTCTAGGACATGCGGCAATTATTCTGATGTTTTTTTTAATCTTTGTTACAGTTAAGATCCCGTGCATTATTATCTGGAGATTCTCCTTCCAGTGTATCTGGAATGAAGTGGCTTAAGGAAGTAGTTCTCAGCAAGAGAACAGATTATGCGTTCCGCATGACAATGGTCGGTGATCCAAAGCTAAGGTTAGATGAAGTTGGAATTCCATCTGACATCGCTAGAAGTCTTTTTGTCACTGAGTTTGTCACCAAATTCAATTTGGAAAAGCTGAGAACCAGCCAAAGAATTCGTCTGTGGAAAGATCAGAGGTTAATCTTTAATCATAAATCAAATGAACTTCAGCTTGGTGATAGAATTGAAAGACCTTTGGCGGATGGCGATGTTGTTCTAGTAAACAGACCTCCATCAGTGCATCAGCATTCTTTGATTGCACTATCAGTCAGAATTCTTCCAACTGATTCAGTTGTTTCGATAAATCCATTAATTTGTTCTCCTTTGCTTGGCGATTTTGATGGAGACTGTCTACATGGCTATGTTCCGCAATCTATCCATTGCAGAATAGAGCTTCAGGAGCTTGTCAGTTTGGATTCTCAACTATTAAATGGACTGGATGGTCGAAACCTATTATCGCTTACTCATGACAGCTTAACTGCAGCATATTTTTTAACTTCTAAGGATGCTTTCCTTAACAAGTTTGAGATTCAACAATTAGAAATGTTATGCCATCACCAATCGCCTGTGCCTGCAATTGTAACTGGTCCAAATCCAAAGAGTGCTCTCTGGACTGGACATCAGTTACTAAACATGCTTTTTCCTCCTTTGGTGGATCTTTATGAATCTTCTAGGACTCTTCGGCATTTTAAGGGTGAACTTCTGTTTGAACCACAATTCTTGTGCTGGTTGCAGAATAAACCTAACAGTATTTATTACTGGATGTCCACAAATTATGGAAAGAAAGCCCTTGACTATCTCTTTTCTGCTCAAGAAGTTCTTTGTGAGTACTTGACAATGAGAGGTTTTACTGTGTCTTTGGGTGATATTTACCTCACCACAGATTCTTATACTAGAATGAAGATGATTGACGAGGTGAACTTCGGTTTGCAAGAAGCAGCAGACTCATGTAGGGCCAGAGAGCATTTTTTGAACAAGTTTGACGGTTCTTTAAACTCTATTGATGATGTAGAAGACACTTTCCTTTCTCTAAAGCTCCAAAAGTTGAAATCATCTAGAACACGGCTAATTCAAGAATCTATTGCTGCATTTAAAAACATATTCTGTGATATTCAATATGCCATACTTAATTATGTAGGGAATAATAGCTCAATGTTGGCGATGATAAATGCTGGAAGCAAGGGTAGTTTGCTGAAGTTAGTTCAACAAGGTGCATGCCTGGGAATGCAATTTTCAGCTAGTGAAATACCATTCAACATACCCAGGGTTCTTTCATGTGAACATTGGAACCAACAGAAGAAACTCCATCAGCATAGAGTACTTGATGATGCCGAAGGTGGAAGCATTCAGAAACATTTTGCTGTAATTAAATCTTCTTTGCTTGATGGTCTGAACCCATTAGAATGTTTTTTCCATGCTTTATCTGGTCGTGCGAATCTCTTCAGTGAAAATGCTCAACTTCCAGGAACTTTGAGCAGGAAACTTATGTTTTACATGCGGGATTTGTATGTTGCCTATGATGGAAGTGTGAGGAATGTTTATGGAGAGGAAATTGTTCAGTTTTGCTATAATTTTCCTGAAAATGGCAAGTTTTGCAAAATCTCATCTGAAAGAGAAGTTTCGAGAAGCGTTCCCGGTGGTCAACCTGTTGGCTCAATGGCTTCTTGTTCCTTATCAGAGACAGCATACGGAGCCTTGGAATGCCCAGTGAATCCATTTTGTCCATCCCCATTATTGAATTTTAAGGTCCGACTCTCCCTAATCTCTTTTCCACTTGCTTAACTAAACATGTTAGCAATCCTAAATTGAGGACATTTAATTGGATTCTTACATTTAAAGTGGGAAATTTTTTTATGTTTTGCAGGACTGATGCTTGGTCCTTGTTTTGCAAGTGGATTGCATTTGTAGTGTATTCAATGAAATAACTCAAAAATATTTTCAATATACTATATTTATTTTACTTTGTATTATTTTTACGATGCGTAACATTTTTCACAAAACAAATAGCTTCTAACTTCTTCCATTGCAAAATTACAGAATGTTGCGTATCATTGCTGAAGTGTTAACTACCATCTACCTCTATCCTATTTTTGAAATCTAGTTTATGAATTTCTTATTAATTGATTTGTTTCATTGCCTGAGGAGTGGAGGAAGAGTATTTTGATCCCCATTTTTAAGAATAAAGGGGATGCACAAGAGTGTGCAAATTATAGAGGAATTAAGTTGATGTGTCATACTTTAAAATTATGGGAGAGGGTAATTGAACATAGGTTAAGATGCATCACGAAAATTTCTCATAATCAATTTGGATTTATGCCTGGCAGGTCTACTATGGAAGCTATACATTTATTGAGAGGTTTGATGGAGAAGTTCAGAGATAATAAGGAGAATCTACATTTGATTTTTATTGATTTAGAAAAAGCTTACGATAAGGTTCCAAGAGATATCCTTTGGAAAGTTCTCGAGAAGAAATGTGTTGATATGACTTATATTCAAGTCATTAAAGATATGTATACTAGAGCTGTTACTTGTGTTCAAACTGAAGGAGGATTGACAAAATATTTTCCTATTTCTGTTGGATTACATCAGGGATCGGCTTTAAGCCAAGGAGGATTGACAAAATATTTTCCTATTTCTGTTGGTTTACATCAGGGATCGACTTTAAGCCCATATCTTTTTGCTTTAGTTATGGATGGTCTTACTGGACATCTACAAGAGGATGTACCTTGGTGTATGCTTTTTGCTGATGATATTCTTCTTGTGGATAAAACGAGAGAAAAAGCCCAGGAAAAACTTGAATTATGGAGGTCTACATTGGAGTCTAAAGGCCTTCGTTTAAGTAGAACTAAAACTGAATACATGGAATGTAATTTTAGTAGTAATAGCTCTAGTGACAGAAGTGTGACTTTGGGTGATCAAATTATTAAAAGGTGTGAACGATTTAGATATCTTGGGTCCGTTGTTCAAAGTGATGATAATATAGATGGGGATGTTAATAGTAGAATTCAAGTTGGTTGGTTGAAGTGGAGGAATGCTTCGGGCCTTTTGTGTGATAGAAAAGTACCGCTAAGACTGAAAGGAAAATTTTATAAGATGGTGGTGAGACCTGCAATGCTCTATGGCGCTGAATGTTGGCCTTTAAAAGAGAAGCATAATAATAAGTTAAGTGTTGCCGAGATGAGAATGATTAGGTGGATGAGTGGCTTTACACTTAGAGACAAAATGCGGAATGAATATATTCGTGATAGGGTTGGTGTAGCTCCTGTGACAGACAAAATTAGAGAAAGTCGTCTTAGATGGTTTGGTCATATTAAACGTCGACCATTAGATGATCCGATTAGGAGAGTAGATGTTTTAAATTCGACTTGTGTTAAGAAAAACAGAGGTAGACCTAGGAAGACTTGGGCTTATTGTATTAAAAATGATTTTAATTTACTAGAACTAAATGAAAATATGATACTAAATAGGACGCAATGGAGAAAAAGGATTCATGTAGCCGACCCCACATAGTGGGATTAAGGCTTTGTTGTTGTTGTTGTTGTTGTATACTTGTGGAAACCTGAGAAGTTTCAGTTAGTTTTCCTAGTATGGAGAATGGATTGTCCGGCTATACAAGATCTATGAGAGATTTAATTGGAGAATAATTTGGAAACCTCTTGGCTTGTGCTTATTCCTTATTTATTTTTATTTATTTTTTTATTTCAGAATTATTTTCTTTCCTAATTTAAGTTTTAAATATATTTGGTAAATTTGTTAATTAGGAGGCATTGAATTATATATCTATTTTTTCTCTCCAAATTATTTTTCATCATGGTATCAAAGCACGGTTTGAGCACAGTTTCTTGATCGAACTCTAGTTTGCTCGGTTCAAACAGATCGTCGTTCCCTTCGTAAATGATGTCAAAGAGGGTGACGGTGTGCTTCCTTCCCTTTGAACGACATTACTTACAGATTGGGGCAAGTTTGGATCGCGTGACTGCTCTCTTTTATCGTGCGTTCACTCTATTGGATTGCACCATTTGAGTCATCTGCTCTGTTGCATCACTCGGCTGGTTCTGCTACTCGCTTGGTAAGCTCGTGTGGGTATGTCTGAATCAAATGATAGTCCTCATCTATCCGACCTCTTATCTCTAATCCAATGACTTCTCCTATTGTCCTTGAGGCAACCATCATCTACCTCCCCTCCTCGGAATTCTTTTTACCATCAGAGCTCTTACTGCAGGCCTTTCTCTGTTTTTTCTACCATTAGAACTCTCCTTGATGCAGGCCCTCCTTCGAAATTTCTTCAGCCGGTCTACTAGACCTTCTCCGCAACCCCTCCTCCACCTTAATTCTCTTGCAGGATCCCCTTTGTTCAGTTATTACCACTGGATTCGCTCTACAACCTAAATTATCTTTGCTGCATGCCCTCCTCCTGTGGAAGAACCCTTCTACAGCAGCGACCACCGCAACAACAAATTCTTACCTATAATAAATTCACCTCTCTTTAAGCCTTCCGTCAGAGTTTTTCCATGCAGTAGGCCCTACGTCAGTGCTTCTCTCTATAGCTATCAACGACAAAATTTTCCTTATAGTTTTTAGTTAATCTGCAAGCTCTACTGTAGGTTTCATACCTCCGCTGTCTTCCACTAGGGTAGTCCTTGGTACCAACCAGCCTTTCTGCCTTCCCACCTTCCCTCCGCGACCTAATTGGTCCTTCTAGAGCAAGTAGAACTCTCTGGCTTTCCATTCGTTCTTTCACTTCTACGTCAAGAAGCAACCTGGAATCCTGCAGCTTTTAGCAAGTTTTATATCTTGCTAACAATGGAGGATTTTGACCAAGTATAGAATGTTGATGACCAAGTTTATGACCAAGTATGACCAAGTATAGAATGTTGATGTCTAGTTCTACTCCAAAGTCTACCGGCTTATTAATACACCTAGGTATTATATCTTTCTATCTTGCTAACAATGGAGGATTTTGACCTTGGATAATAGATTCAGGTACTTTTGATCATATGACTGGGGACATGCATGCTCTCATCAACTATTAGATCTCCAAATCCAAATTAGGTTAAAATGAGACGTGAATATGTCCAAAGATATTCAACTTTCCTTAGTGTTATATGTTCCCCAACTAGATTGCAACTTACATGCAATTAACAAGATTATTTATGACCCGAATTGTGTTCATAAATTTCATTCCAAAACTTATTAATTACAGGTGGTGGATTCGAGGAAAGGTGATTGCTGCATCAATGTCTATACTTGTTCAAGGCGAATTATTCTCTTAACACACAAGTCTCTTCTCCGCTACCCCCTTTCCATGATCCCAAGTTTGTTGTGTCTGAGTCCGTTGAAAGTCAAATTTTATTATGACATTATCGTCTGGATCATCTCAATTTACATTCAATTAACAAGATTATTTACATGTTATTGCAAGTTTTAGTTATATCAGTGTGAAACCTATCAATGACTAAACATACCCATCATGTATATCCTCCGTCTCACCCTCACATCTTTTCTCAATCATGCATAGTGACATTTGAGGAACCTCAAAATGGAAAACCATCAATGGACATTGATGATTTGTATCCCTCATTGACGATCACACTAGAATCAGTTGGAACTTCTCATGAAGAAGAAATCTGAATCTACAATTTTTTCAGTCATTCTATGGCATGATTTACATTCAATTCTAATGTAAAATTTAAATTCTCAAAACTGATAATGCAAAGAAATACTTCAACTCTATTTTTGGACCCTTTTAAAAATAGTATTATCCATGCGAGTTACTTTGTCATGACATCAACAAAATGAGATAGCTGAGATGAAAAATAAACATCTCCTTGAGGCATCTAGGTCTGTAATGCTTTTTCACAATGTCCCAAAAGGTTTTTTGGGAGATGATGTGCTCACAACCACCTATCTTATTAAATAGGATGTAATCCAGAGTTCTTGGATTCAAAGTCTCTTTCCATGTTTTAATGGAAAAAGTACTCTCTTCATAAAGTTTTCTCATCCAATCTTTCTCTAAAAAAATTGGTTGTCTCTTTTGTCCACATTCATTAATTAAACTGCACAAAGCGTCTCCAAAAATGTATCAAGTGTATTTTTCCTTGGTATGCCTCCAACAAAAGGGAGTATAAGCATTACTCTCATGTTACCAGGAAATATTACAAATTCACGAATGTCAAATTTTTTAAAATTCAATCCTACTTATCCCAAATATGTGTTCAATGGGAGAGTATAAATGAACATCAATTTTGGGATGTACTTGATAACACCTACACGGTCTCACCACCTACTCCACCTAGGAATCATAATAGAGAAAGCAAATATTAATACTAAAAAATAAACGGTTACGATTCGAACACTGAAAGGAGAATTACAACAAATATGACACAAAGCCTCACACTAGGGTGGATTTAAGTTAGGTTTGATGGTCGTTAGGGGTTTGGAAGTGTTGATAGATGATTGGGTAGTTGTGTGATGGTTGGAAGGTTTAGGTTGTAACAGGGAAGAGATTTTGGGTGGCCTTCTTAAGGGTGTAAACAAGCATGGGATGATTGGACAACGATGTGACAACAAGGTGAAGGGCTTGTGGGGCTGCAATAGTGATGTCAGATGGAGGGATAGGGGTAGAACAACAAAAAGAAGGATTGGGGAACATATAACACTAAGGAAAGTTGGGGGTTTGGGACAACGAAAACGTTGAAATGAAAGAAATTAAAAAAGAATGAAGTAGATGGGGCAACAACAAAGTTGGGGGTTTGGGACAGCGAAAACAATAAAGTAGGTTGCTAGAACAATGAAGAGGAAGGGCGGTGGACTGCGGGACATCTGAGGGGAGGGCTTTCCAGGGTCTGCGGAAGCGAGAATGGTGGTTGGAAAGGTTGCACAGTTGTTGGGTAAGGATATATATTCTCACGGGATTGAAATACAGTTGGAGCATCACTCAATCCTTGGGGGATGGTCACCTCCGTGGACGAGTTACAACCGGAGCACTTTCTTATCTTCGGATACAACCCTCAGAAACAATCAAAATCTGAATTCTAGACAAGCACACAACACATATATGTAATAAAAGCTAATAAATAGAAATAGAAATAGAAATAGAAATAGAAGGTCATAGGAAATGAAAGAAAATAAAAAAGTAAGGTAATATAATAAGAAAAAACTAGGATATAAAAGGGTGGTGGGCAAGGAAAGTGATAAAAATGGAAGGAATCAAATAGGAAAAACAAGATTTGTGGTACTAGCTGCTACATTATCACGATATCCAGGCTATCGCGTCTTCTTCCTACTCTTCAACCCGACTCTTCTACTCTTGTTGAGGATTTCCAATCAACCTTACCTGAAGTCCACAACAAAGAATTTTGTGTGTACGCTAGGAGGAAGAAAAGATTGAGCAAGTAGAACATAACTTACAAAAATAAAGCTGCTCCAAACAAACCCATGTCCACATTTACCTAAAATTTTGGGTGAAATGTCTAATGCTTATGAATTATCACCTTGCTCTTCTGGTGTTAATGACAAGAAAAGTTGTACCAGATACCCAATTTAGGAGTATGTAGCTAATGAGAAGCTATCCTTAACCTATAGGGTGCTTATGTTCAACTTTTATAGTGTGCAGATTCCTAAACTCATTCATTATGCTCTTGAAAATCCAGAATGGTGGAAAGCAGTGGAAGAAGAGTTTCGAGCATTATAATATAACGACATGGATTCTTACTAAACTTTCTTAGGATAAGAAGCCAGTTGAATGCAAGTGGGTGTTCTACATCAATACAATGCTAATGGGAGTATTGAAAGATTCAAAGCCAATTTTCTAACAATCTAGCAACTGTCACTATTGCCAGGATTCCTGCGCATCATGAAAGGATCAAGCTTTTTGAAGTTGATAGACAATTTATCTCTAAAAAATGTTAATGGGGGAATTATACAACTAAGCTAAATCCTGACACACCAACTAGTTATTTATGTCTTCATCAAAGCCCTTCCCTTAAACACTTTAAAGTTCAATACCAAGCTTGGTATCTACAAAATTTACAATCCAAGTTGAGGGGAGTGTGAAAACTTGAGAAGTTTCAAGTGGTGTTCCCAGTATGGACTGTTCAGCTATTCAAAAGATCCTATGGGATATTTGATTAGAGATCAATTTGGAAACCTCTTAATTTATGTTTATTCTTTTCCTATTTAAGTTTCTTTATTTTTATTTCAGAATTATTTCCTTTCCTAATTTTGGTGTTAGATATATTTGGTAAGTTGGTAAGTTTGTAAATTACGAGTAATTAGATTTCTTATATATATATGTATCCTACATGGGAAAAAAGAAATTTAGCAATTTTTTCCTCTTCAAATGTATTTTTCATCAATAATCATTTTACAAAGTTGTCTATTGTTTCAAAACTATTTGTTGTGATTGCTCGAAGATGCTAACATTTATATGAAATATTATTGATTTTTTGACATCTATTTATTATTTATTTTTTAGAAATCTTTTTGAGCTTTGTTGGACAACTTACGTACCATTTATAAGGTTCTCAACTTTTTGTTACTTGAAGTCACTATCACCATTTATCTTATCCTAACATTCTTTTTATAAGGTCATAACTCTATTTTGTTCATTATTTTACACAACATCAAGCCATATGATCTTTAGTCTATTTTTTTCTTTCCTAATCCTTCTATAGTAATTTTATTTTAATTGGTACATTTTCTACTTTTCATTGCCCGAGTACTTATTGTTCTAATACAAAAGTTTTTCCGTGTATCTTTAATTTTTTTTTTCTTTCAACTTAACATTCTTGTTCTTGCCGCAGTTGACTTTTTTATTGTCTACTTCTTAATTTTCTGACAGCTAGAGATACACAGATTTGAATTCAGCTTAAAATTTTACCTTTATTTTTGTATGGTATTTCCTTGTAATAAAAGTTTGATCGAGATAATCAATTTAACCACCCAATTGTAATTCTAAACTTTATTTCCTCATAGATATTCCCATTTATTTGTTTAATATATCCTGATACATAAATCTATCACAACCGCATTTCCCTTTATTTTACATCGTATAATTGATAATCAATAATTTCTCATCGATAATTTTATTTTAGTTTGTTTCAAATGTTATTTAGATGAATTTTATGTTAGTTTGGTTCAAATGTTATTCAGATGATATTTTTATCAAAATTGTAATGTTATTCAGATGGATGTTTTCTTAGAGTTTTTTTTTTTTTTGTAGTTTAATGTCCACTTAAAAGATATGGTGCTATTTAGAGTCTTTTAAGCGCATAACACTTCAAAATGGCTTTCATGTTCATGTTGGGCAATGACATGCCTTGAAATGCCTTGACTTCTTAAAGTTGTGTTTTTGATATTTCCCCCCAATATTAGAGTTAAAAAATAACCCAGCTATGCTCCTCATAGCAGTGACACGCAGGTGACATATACAGGACATATTATGACAAATTTCACATTTGTTCTTTCATTTTTATTCCAGTGCACCATGACATTTTAAAACACTCTTTTGTGACAAGCTTTTATTTATGTCATCTCTCTCCAATTTATCTTGTCTGTGAGCTTCTTGTTGTTCTTCCCACGCTGTTGCTTTTCTACCGCGTTTGCTCTTTTGCCTAGCCTACTTATCCTTTGCAGCTTTCCACTCCCCAAACTTTCTCCTACTTCGCCTCTCTCCTTCTATGCTTAATTGTGGCTTTAACTTTCCTTTTTCTATTCATAATTTTAAATCCATGGTTGTCTTATGATTTCTTTCTGTTCTTCTCTAGTTATCCTCAATGTAGATATTCTATCATCTTTAAATTGTTTCAAATCCTTATTTTTTTAGTTTTTTCTTAAAAAAAGGTTTAAAACAATATAGTTTTAGATTTCATAACAATAAAAAATGTTGACATTAGGTTTTTTAATTATAAATTTATCAGTTCCTTATTAAAGAAACAAAAAACACCTCTACAACATATTGTGTACAACTTTTTAAATTTATTTCATATTTTCACGTCAATCTCTCGTATCATTTTAACGCTTCGAAGTTTATAATAGTTAATGGTGATTAAGATATTTCTGTTAGTTGTTTTCTGAAATCATTATGATTGTTAAAATTTAGATAGCCTACAATGTCACCGTTATTTAGATAACCTAATTTTGATTATTAAGATTGTTTAAAATGCATCAATGTGAAAAATAACATCAAGTCAAAACATATCTTGTTTTAAATAGCATAACATTACATAAAAAAAGACTAAACGAATCAACCCATAATATTCAGTTTGTCCAATTAATTTTAAGCCTCATAACATTTTAAAATTTTCTCCTTAATTTTAAAATTTCAAGTTGGTTGGCTGAAGTTGAGGAATGCATCGGGCTTATTGTGTGATAGAAATGTACCGCTTAGACTTTAAGGAAAATTTTATAAGATGGTGGTGAGGTTCGCAATGCTCTATGGCGCAGAATGTTGGCCTTTTAAAGAGAAACATATGACAAAGTTAAGTGTTGCTGAGATGAGAATGTTTAAATAGATGAGATTTTGACACTTAGAGACAAAATGTAAAATGAATATATCCGTGATAGGGTTGGTTCTGCTCTAGTGGAAGACAAGATTAGAGAGAATCGTCTTAGATGGTTTCGTAACGTCAACTATCCGATGATCTAGTTAGGTGAGTAGATGTTTTAGATTTGACTTATGTTAAAAAATGCTAAGGTAGACCTAAGAAGACTTGGGCATATTGTATAAAAAATAATCTTAATTTATTAGAATTAAATGAAAATATGACACTCAATATTACACAATGGAGAAAAAGGATTCATGTAGCCGACCCCACTTAGTGGGATAAAGACTTGTTGTTGTTGACTCACTTTAGAAGATAACTTCATTTATCAACGCTGTTTTTAAAAGTGTAACTTAAATTGTTGACAATATGAAATGAATTTTAAATTAACTTTTTCCTATAGGGGATTTGCTGAAAGTTCATCATTAATGCAAAATTTCATTTCTTTAAAATGCAGATATTATTTTTATTCATTTCTACATTGGCCTATTAATCAGTTACTGTAATTAATAATAAAATTTAACAAATCTTCTGTTAGCATAAACAAAGATGCAATGTAATGCTAAAATTTTGAAGATTTTGACATTCGGACAAGAAAGTGCTCATTATTCATTTTCTCTGTAATTTCTTCTTTTGTCATTCCATAGTCATTAATTTGTAGTGGTTTTTGAAATCATTATAAGATGTTTGGATGCCTTGAAACAAGGCTAATGATAATAACGATGTTTGAATCTTTTTGAATTCATTTGGTTTTCCTTTTAGGCTTTACTAGAAAGGAGTACTGGTACAATATCTGGCGTCCATACTGCATCACTTTTTTTATCAAATAAATTAAGAAGGTTAAGATATGGCTTTGAGCATGCAGCCTTGGTAGTGAAGAGTCAGCTTGGACATGTTCTTTTTGCTGAGATCGTCAGAACCATAACAATTCTGTGAGTATATTAATTTCCCTTTTCAGGTAAAATGCATGAAGTCATCAAATGAGCTTATTCTTTCCATCTCAAAAAATTGTTAGTTATGCGAGGAAGGACACACAACGCGTAGGTTTGAGCCCCTGGGTCATCCATTTTTATGTAGACAAAGTAATGATCCTTTTGGAATTATTGTTTCAAGCAATTATTTTAAATGGCTATTCATTTTGATTTTAATTTAAAATCTTCAGTTTTTTTATTTTTTTTGTTTTGAACCTTTTTGTTTCTCAGGAAAGCATGAGTAGTAGAAGATTAGAAGCACAAAATGTCAAGGATCAACTTGTTAGAAGTTATGAAAAGAAAGCAGCACTTAATGATTCACTCCCTAAGCTATTTATAGAAAGCAAGTAAGCTTTCTTATTGCCTTATCAGTAGCTGTTCTTGTTTTATTGTTCTGTGTTACATGTTGTTCGTGCAGTCTGGCTATCATCCCATACTTCATTTGAAAAGAGGGCAGCCCCTATTTGTTCAATGGCATACCACAAAACAATGTGAAACACATAAAACGTATGAATGTGTGAGTTTTGTCCTTTTTTGTTCAATGGCATACCACACAACACTGTGAAACAAATAAGACGTGTGAATGTGTAAACTGTGCCCCTTTTCTATTTAATGGTATCCCACCTGAAATTTTGCATTTTTAAACGATTACAATCAGTTGGACAACCTTATGTAGTTTTTATCTGAAGTTAGTTAATGTTGTCGAACAATCACACATTCACTGTGAGACTCTGGTTTTCTCTTTTCCCATATAATGAACAATCTCATTAGTCGAATTACTTTTTGGCTGTCATGTATGTAGAACCTATTCCAAAAAAAAATCAACATATTTGTTTTCTTGGCATTCTTTACTACAAAAATTTCAGTACCTGTTTATTATGCTTTGAAATCGAATCATACTAACATTTTCAAGCTGTTTCATTTATTTTCTTATTGGGTTTGAGTTGAGGCTGAGCTTGAACCTTCTTTTAAAATTTTGTTCAAGCCTATTTATTAGTTTTCTTATAGATTTTAAGTCGTAATCAAGCTTGAATTAAGCCTTATTAATAATTTGTTTGATGTTAGTAATTAAAAATATATTTTTATTACTAGACATTAATTCATTTATTAGCTTTACTTAAAATGAAATAATTCATTAAATATTATTTTTTGCTTGATGTAGTTTAAATATTTATAAAAAATATTTTTGATCTATATGTTTAATTATTTGTTTCATATTGCCATTGTATTTATACCTCAAATCATAAACGTAATTTTTGAAGTGTATAAGATTTCAAGAAGTTATGCAAGAAAATGGAATTGCCAAATAAGTAATCAAACCACCCATCCAGTGTATTAATTACTTAATTTATATTTTATTGTTGGACCAAACATGCAATTTAATATTGTTATTTTTTGTTATATTCAATCAATGACCTTTTTGCTATCCATATTTGGATTGATACAACATAGTTGATAGAGCTATTAGTTATATATATATATATATATATATATATATATATATATATATAAAAGATGTCATATCCTCTAATCACATAGAATTGCTGCATCACTTGTTGATTTTAACTATCCAACCTTAATTCTAGAAGTTATATCTTCATTTTTATCTTTGTTCAATTTCAATAAATTAAGAACTTTCTCATTGATGCATCACTTTATTTGATAAAATGTTAATTAATAATTGTAATATATATTTTAGAATTGGATGTGTGGAGGATTTTATGAACCGTTGAAAACTTTTTGAGGACAAGAGTGATTTCGTGCAATCCTTTTTACATGATTATGAAAGTCAGCAATAAGAGTGTTTGTTGAATTTTTTTTCTACAGGAAGTTTATAATTTGAAATTTACCTTTAAATTATTAATTGTTATAGTAGTCACTGTGCTATAGTGCTCATGATTGCTATAATTTTTTCATTTGCCGGTAGTTGCTATATTAATTGTGTTATTGCTAGAGAAAAAGTTTCTCTGGAGAGTTGAAATTAATTTCTATTATGCTTCTTTATAGGAAAAATAGCATAAATTATAAATTAAATTTGATTTTAGTTTCTTCTTTACTAGCTTTATTACATAAGAAACAACCTTATCCCAAGCTCCTTTATTTAAGAACAATCTTTTCATTCCTAAACTAACTATATAAAAGAGGGAACATAAAATTATCCCAAAATATTGTCAACATTCAAAGGTCACGTTTGTCATTAAATCTTTATTAGACATCTGGCTTTTGATTCATTATTGGTTATGGATTCATGATGAAATGTTATTCCTATTCAATGTTGTGATCCAAAAAATTCTTTTCAATATGACCTAGATAACAACTCTCCATTTTAGCTCATTTGCTCCGACTAATGAGAGCTTGTTTTCTTTTTTTGCTTCTTGGCAATTTCCTTTCTTTTATATTCCGTAGCATTGAGCTTTTGATTTTACTGTAATGGTTCATCATTCTCCTAGATAAATTTTGGATCCAATTAGGAGGATTCTTTTTGAGTTATTTATTAAGAAGAGAGCTCTTGGATCTCTCCTTTAGGCCTTCTAGTCAGATGTTTTTCCTATATCCTTCGAATTGGAATAATTTACTGAATGATGACTACTCTTTCTTCATTGAAAATGACATCTCTCTCTCAATAATTAATTACATAGCCTTTTATTGAAGATATCATCTCTATCACAAAAAAGGATTACGTATAATTATATATCCAATGTTACAATTTCACATGCTATCTCATCAATAAAATTCATTGAAAAAGAAGCCTAAGTGTACATTGTCAACTGACTTACAGTCATTTCTTTTTTAAAGCCAATAATTTTGAATGTAGTGTCGTGACTAACCCCAATCTCCTAAGTAAGCTCCAAAATTATGATTCTTCTCATTTATTGGATCCAAAATGGCATAGACAAAGGTGGCTTTTACTTGAAGCCTAAGGTGGAATAATTCTTTTTTTGCTTCTTCATTGGTATGTGCATGTAAAATTAAAGAATAATTTTGAATATCTTTGTTTTTGCTATCTCAAACTACTTTTGTAAGTTATGATGAGGGTCTTTTTCTTGTCTTCCCATCCATACCTTATTTTGGAAATAAATTCTAACAATCTTAACGTTGTGCCCAAAATATTTGTAGTGGTGACATCATATCTACGATCATACCCCAAAAGCTGAACTCATAGTTTCCCACTTAGAATTATAAGTTTTGATATTTACCATTTTTTTTTTCCCTCAAGCGCTATAGCTTATATGTACTTTTTAATGACATCATCTACTAGAAAAAGCTTCAATTTTGTGCTAATACTTGCATGCAGCTCTCCTACATGTTTCTGAAAAATAGATTTTTCATTCGATAAAAATTTTAAAGAAATTGTCGACTCTTTAATTTTTGTTGTGCTAGAATTTTTTGCCTATTATTCTGCTTTAACAGGAACTAGCATTTTGATACTAATTTATGACCCTAAATTGGATGTACAATTTTTTTGGAATTTTTTTAATTTTACATGATCAAGTGCAATTTCTTTAACAAGATGACTAGACTCCACAATAGGAGGATTTGTTCATTTTTTTTTTAATATTAGAAATTCTTATCTGTTTTTTGCATTTTCTTGTAGTTGGCTTTAATGTTCATCATTGTTATTATTCCTATGATTTGCTATGGTACCTTGATAAAGAAGAGATAGAAAATCATTTGGGGGAGTTGAAATTACTTTTTACTACAAGGACTAGTCTCTTTATAAGCAAAACAAAATTAAGAATTAATTAAATGTGAACTTGTACTTTTTTAAAGTAACCCTATCAAATAAGGAAAATAATGCATGTTGTGATTGCTATTGTTTCTAGGGCTGTCAAAACGGCTCATTGTTCATGAAAAGCTCATGTTCAGCTCATGTTTAGCTCATTTTCACTCGAAATTATGTAATTATATATATATATATATATATGTAATTCTTATTA